TTTTACATTAATTCTTATGGGGAAATTGGATTCGCTTAACTTTTTCGCTTAAAGTTGCATTTTTCAGGAACATAACTACAACGTTAAGCGAGGAGTTACTGTATTGCTGTGGTTGCATTCTTCCTCCTTTTGTGTTTTTCTACTTTTTTATCACCCTTAGCAATGTTCCGTAAATGGTTACTCTTCAAGCAAAAATAAAAATTCTTGTAACAAAGAGGTAGCGATCAGCAATGCTCTTTCAAAATTCAGCTCAAGATGTATGTAAATAAGACCAACCCTCTAAAGGGTCTGTCCTGTCCCAATATTTTACATAAATTGTTTTATAAGAGTAATATTGCATGGAAAATATTCCTAAGGAATACTTAAATATGTGTGGCATATATGTGATACAGTGTTACCAAGAACCTGTTATGTGAATTAATTCCCCTATCAGTGGCAATTTTAGTTCTCAACACCATAAGATAGAAGACCATGTTTTTTTTTTTTTCAGTTGCAATAATATTTTAATTTTGTTTATAATTTATAGCAAAGAACTGGAAAAACTAAAAAAAGATTTGGAGGAAGAGAAAATGATGCGAAGTCTCCTAGAGGTAATTTTAGCTATGAGGATAGTGTATAGATATGTGTATACGGTACTCTGATGATACCAGAGGGCTAATGAAAACCTTTAACAGTCTTGTTTGATCTCTATATCATTAGTACGAATCTGAATGATTGCCTAGTAAAGTGGAAGCTGGTATGGGGAATTATATTTTATATATGAAAGACTCAAAGCTAGAAAAACCTATTCTCCAAATGCAAAGTAGAGGTTAGCCACATGTGTAGGTCTGGAGTAGAGTTCAATAATATCCACAATACACTGTGTACCTGCTCTGTCCTAGAGCTTCTCAAGTAGGCAATTTTAAGAGGCCTCAGTTATTCTGCCATGAAACATTTTTAAAGCAGTGTTGAAAATCATGGATATGAGAACTGAACATAGGGAGAAGTCAAGTTTTTATAGATCTGGTTTAAAAAAAAACGGGGTAGGGGTGGAGACAAGACTCATGAAAATTTTGTCAAAAATTTCTGATTTTTTTAACTCAAAATTTCAAGTCATAAATCAACTGTAATTTTTAAATATTCTGGAGGCCAGTGAGTAAGAATAACTCAAACAGAATAATAAGGTTTTAGTGTCATGTAGGTACATATACAGTAAAGTAAGCTTTGCAAACTTATTTTTTCTCTCTTCAAGCTGTGTTGAAAAAACAGTCTGTTTTACAGGGAGTAATTCTGAGTACATATCACTTATGAATACTGCATGTATGGAATAGTTGATACGGGTTCATCCTAGGTGAACATTTATACACAATCTTATTTTTAGACAGATACAAAAGGGACCCTATTTGAAAGTATCCTCCAACTCAGCAAAAGGTGCAATTTCACAAATTTGAAAAGACCATGAACCATATTCTGTTCTAACGGATTTTTACTAGTGTACCTCCATAGTAATCAGTGGAGTTCTTTCAGATTTGCAGTGGTGTAACTAGGACTAATATATTTCACATTATCATTTAGTATGGTAGGCTTGGTGTGAAATTTTGTACATGATCCATTTTAGGAAGAAAGTCTGAGATGATGCACCAACCCATACAATCATATAATGCAGGAGAAGTCATTAAACAATTGAATTCAGAGAACAAACTTGTTCTGTGGTACACTTTAATCAGAACCAACTAAGTCAATAAAATTTACCATACAAATAGACAATATGTATTTTAAAATGTATCTCGTAAGCCATGGCTACTTAGTTGTATGTTGTTGTTAAATTGTTAAATGCATTTTTAATAATGAAAGTTGCTTAGCATGAATTGCAAAGAAAAATTGATGGAAAGATTAAGATTTTGGTAAAAATCATGTAAATTAAAGATACTGATATTGGGTAGTTCAATTTTCTCATAATGTCTTTCTTTTCCAGGCTGAAATAGAAAAGTTGAAGAAAGCAGTCATGTCTACATGAGTCAGCCACAGACAGTGTCCTTAACTTGCCAGGAATTCAAACACATAATACAAATAGAACTGACTTTTTTTTTTAGTTCAGTAAAATGAAAGCTGGTGTTCCATGGGCTTAGAGGGGGGAAAAAAGAGTAAAGAGGAATATAGTCTTGTATTCAGAGAGAGAAGAAAAAAAAATTGATGTAATTATTTTTTGCCAATATAAAAGAGGCCTTATTTCTTACTGTGCTGGAATTGCAGACCTTTATTTTCCGGTTTGCTTGAAAATACTACTGAATCTGTATAAAAAGAAGAGGGAGTTCTTAATAGATTTTTATTGAATACTTGTAGTGTAATTTTTAAAGAGATCTATACTATAAATAGGGTGATATATCTTTACAAGTAATCTGTAAAATAGTCAATTGGGAAGGACGGAGTAACCTAATAGTAATTGTAGTCTACTTTTCCCAGACACACAAAAGGGAATATATGATATTTGTATATTATTTTTTAATTTTAGCATTCTTTCCCAGGATTACACTGTTGTGCCTGTCTGCAGTGAGAGTATTCGTAATATGCTGTTTTTTATAATTTGGGTGACGAGACAAGAATTTGGTGGTCCTATGTGGCAGATTAATCGCCTGTGCATAGTAGTAATTGGTGATCTAATCAAAATAGTTTATTAAACAGCAAACATTTTGTCACTTGCACTATAGGATTTATAAAAGGGATTTATGATTGAACCATAAAACTATAGTAGGACAAAGTTAATTCTTAAAACCACAAAAAAGAAAAAGAAATCCAGAGTTAAGGCTAAATCCTGTTGTGCCTAGGCATCGTAGCACATACGACATGCAAAATCAGCCTTAACTCTAGTTTTGTTTGCTTTTCTGAATTTAAATCTAGCTCATCAGTCTTCAGTGGTTTGTTTCTTTTTTGCAGTAATAGTAGTATTAAAAAAGAACTTTTTAAAAGCTTCCTTCATATGAATTGCAACTTTCAGAGTCTTCAGTCAGCCATATGCATATACACATACACGTTCATATAGTCTTTAAAATTGGGTAGTATTACTCAATGGACACGGATGGCTCCAAACAAATCACTTTGGGCTCTTATGTAAATATTGAGACTTTTTTCAAAGCGTATTACTTATGCCATAAACCATAAGCTCTCAGTATGTTATGTAAATCCAAATGTAATCACATTTTAAAGAAATATATATTTTCACATGATAGATTGGAACAGCTTCTGATGAATCATTGTGCTGATCTGACACAATGTCTTTCATGTATTCCCCATGGAAAAAAGTTGAAAACTTGCAGGTCACATTGTACCTAACCCTCTCCTTCCCTCCCCCGGGAGCAATGCAAATATCCAAGTAACGCATTGCTTCAATTAAGCAACAACCTCCTCATCTCTGACCTAGCGGAATATAGCATGCCCCCTAGTTTGACAAGCTCACCAATAAATAGTCTTGGCTTGTAAAACACCATTTAGATTTCTATTCATGTGAGTACAGTAGGGGTAGTAATGTAGATTCATGAAGTAAAGTGAAAGTTTTTAATAAATCATGAGAACACTTTTCCATACGTGGTGCACAAGCAGTGGCAAACATCTAAAGAGTGAATTGCATGATGTTGGTCTGCAGTTGCTGATTGCCTTTTTCATGAAATCTGAATAGTAAATATATTATACAAGTTTTAGGTTATATTTGTGAGAAACATTGCTAACCAGCTGGTTCAATATTAACTCTTAATTGCCTTGACGCATCACAAATGAAGACTTAAGCCACAACTTTATATCCAGGAATAATGGGTAGCAGTAGTGCGTCTCAGACACTAAACCTTGCATTTAGCACTCTTTTACCTCTTTACTTACTAAGTTTGATAATGCAAAGCAAGAAATGAGCCTAGTGAAATAGAAGATTCTCTATTTTATAGCTCTTCACTGTGACCAGAGCATAAAACAAGTCCTATGGTAGGTTGCTCTGATGATTATCATGTCTGCACTTAAGCTTATAGCAGACGAGCGGAACAAGACAATCAGTTAAATCAAAAATTGAAAGGTGTTATAAGAAGTTAATGGCCTTTTTCGCTGTAGCAATAAATGAGCAAGTGCAATGACTTGATTTAATAAAAATCTCTTTTAAAAGTTGCTGCTATGAGTATTTTTAGCCATAAAGAAGTCGGCCTAATACATGTCTGTCTTATCTATGATTAGTGTTGTGTAATACAATGGAGGTGGGAAGGGTAATGTTTATACAGACATTCCACAAAATACAAGTTCTTTAAAGCATAATGCTTCATTGACTTGTTTACAGGTGCTGTAAAAATCATGCATGCTATCAAAACTCCAGCAAATAAAAAAAACCAAACTACGGTTGTATGTTTGCTTTTTTGTTGTTCAAGGAAGTTTTGAATTTTGTCGTAAACACAAGCTTAGAAAAGAGACATCAAATAAGGAAATTACCTTCTGAATCCTTCTGTTTGCTTTTTTTTGCAGCGGTGTTACACTTAACTCTCATTTAGCTTGTGATCCACTATGATCCCAGATCCCTTTCTGCAGTACTCATTTCTAGGCAGTCATTTCCAATTTTATATGCGTGCAACAGATTGTTCCTTCCTAAGTGGAGTACTTTGCTTTTATCCTTAGTGAATTTCATCCTATTTGCTTCAGACCATTTCTCCAGTTTGTCCAGATCATTTTGAATTTTAATCCTATCTTCCAAAGCACTTGCAACCCCTCCCAGCTTGGTATCATTCGCAAACTTTAGAAGTGCACTCTCTATGCCATTATCTAAATCATTGATGAAGATATTGAACCGAAATGGATCCAGAACTTATCCCTGCGGGACCCCACTCAATATGCCCTTCCAGCTTGACTGTGAACCACTGATGATTACTCTCTGGAAATGGTTTTCCAACCAGTTATGAACCCACCTTTATTAGCTCCATCTAGGTTGTATTTCCCTAGATATGGCTATCTAGTGTATCTTTCTTGCATTTAGGAACTGAACATTTTCAGCTTTTGATTTTCTGCCAAAAAAAAGTTGTTTTTTTTCCTCCATGGTGGTAAAATAAACACTTTCCGACCGGCTCTAGAACCCATGTAGGTGCCGTTGCCAACTGTGAATCCCACCGGAGAGGCATTTGTTAAGGGGGTATAATTCCCAGCTTCTTCTCTACAAGGCAAAGCTGTCATCTTCCTCATGGAGGAGTTACTAGGAAACACCATGTTCAGTTTTCACCCCTGAATCTGGGTGATTACTACATAGGAAAGACTGATTCCTGTTACTTCCAAGTGTTCTTACAAAGTTGTTGGATTGGACTGTTTCCATGGTGGATCAGATAACAGAATTTGATTAGTACATTTCAGAGGTAGGCAGAGCATTATCTGTATAAATGTAAGATAAGATGGCCCCATCCCAAATTTCACCACACCGGGAGAAAATAACTGCAGGATGGAGTTAATTCAGTGACTAAATATGAACCAGATAAAAAGTAACTAATGGTGCAACAAAGTAAGTTTGATGAATGTCATTCTCTCCTTCACTGTAAGTTTTAAATAGAATTCCCAGACAAGAATAGTCTTAAAATGTTAAGGTTGAAAGTGCGTAGGAATAACTTAAAATTAAAAAAGATACATAGCAGCCTGAAGAGCTCTTTAGGAAAATCATTACCACATATTGTCCAAACCAGTTGATTTTGTGGGAGGTAGAAACTGCCAGAATAGCAGTGATACCTATTGTACCTGATCACATAAAGCCTGCATACACTCCATTCTGCCTTGTCTGGGTTTTTTTTAATCCATCATCCTGATTTTAA